AGAGAGAGAGAGAGAGAGAGAGAGAGAGAGAGGAAACCGTGTGAGAGAGAGAAGAAACCGTGTGCTGACACTATCGGACCGAAGAAACCGCCCTTATCAACGGGCAACATGAATCCGGAAGCGGGGCGACATGCACAAAGGACAAAAAATATGGCGGTGTATCTTTCCATGTTTTGGGCGGAAGATTCATTCATACGTTGGGTGGTGGAGAACGAAGGGCCGATGAATCCGTTAAGCACGTAACGTATCTCTGGAAACTTTTTTTTTTTTTTTTGGAGAATCTCTGAACAAATGAGACTGAATCCTCTGCTTGAACATGGAAAGATACATTGCCATATATGGGCCTCGCTGCACTACTCTGGAAATCTGCAAAACGAGAGTGAATCTTGCGTTAGAATATGGAAAGATACACCGCCAATATTTTTGTCTTTTGTGCATGTTGAGAGTAGTGCAGCGAGGCCCTATGTCTTGTTGTGCACGTCGAGAGTTGTGCAGCGAGCCCGTTGGTGAACATTGCCGTTGAGATTCTGACACAGGTTGGACGCGCCGGGCTTCACTCGTGCAAAAGAGCTGTTCTTCCTTTACGTTTTTTTCCTTTCATTAAAAAACAAAAATCCAGGAAAAATGGCTGCCAGTTCCGTCATTTTCTACTTCAGAAGTAATACGAAGAGAACGTTTTGAGAGATCGCGACCCTCATCATGACTGAATCTGGCCTGCAAGAACCCTACCATACAGACTCCAAGTACCGTTGAGGTTCAGACAGGTTGGACGTGCCGGGCTTCACTCGTGGAAAGAAATTCTGATGTTCTTCCTTTAAAAAAAAAATTCAGTTCCGGGCCCCGCGCGGCCTCAAATTGTTGTTGTTGTTTTTTTTTGTTACTTGACGCGACATCCCACTTGAGCCTACAACACCCCTCCCCAGCTTTTTTTTTTTTTGGCCGACCCCTTATTTTCGGGGTGCGCCGCACCCCGTGCCCGCGCGTCGTGCGCGGTGCGCGGTGCGGCGCACGTGCGGCACCTCGATGCGCCGCAAGTATGGTATTTATTCTTTTTTTTTTTTTTTTACAATTTTCTTGTTTTATTTTACTTTGTTTTTGCTCTTCTGATTTCAGACAGTTGGCGCCATCTGCATTCTGGCGCCCGTTTTCAACTTCCTACTTTTGCGACTTTCCGATTTCGGACACTTGGCGCCATCCGACATGCTGGCGCCCACTCTCAGACTTTCGATTTTCAGTTCTGGCCCTGACGCATTTTCACTTTTGCCCTCAGGTCCGTACTTAAGTCCGGTACTTATGTACGGACTCAAGCCCAGTACGGGCACCAAGTTTTCAGCCTCAGTGGTTGTGTTCACTGCGACTTCGCTTCGACATTGTGTTCATGAATTCAACACTGCAACTATGCGACTTTTGCCACTTTATGTCTGCGTCCGTTGAGTCTGTGTCGAGTTGAGCGAGCGTGTGTGTGTGCTCTCACTCTCCCTCTCTCTCCCAGCCTCGCTGCTCTGCCTCTGCCTCGTCACACTGGTATCGGTGTGGCGTCGATCGCTCTCCCGCCGGCCCTGATCGACGCGGAGCAGCCCCAACAATGCCATCATCGTCATCATCGTCTTCGTCGCCGACATTGCCACGTCATCACTGTCGTCATCATCTGCAACGTCGACATTGCCACGGCATCGTCATCGTCCCCACACCATCGTCGTCGCTGCCACGTCATCAACAATCCTGAATCGACGACGACAAGGCCAAGGTACGCTAATATATTTTTTTTTCCTTTTTTTCTTTTTCTTTTTCTTTTTCTTTTTCTTTTTCTTTTTCTTTTTCTTTTGATCGTTCTTCTCTTCTCTTATCCTTCGTCAGTTCTTCTTTTTGTTTCTCCTCCTTTCTCCTTTCTCCTCGTTTCCCCACATCGTCATCGTCCTTCCCCCGTCATTCTCTGAAATTGCAATTCTCGAGATCGAAATCACTTCGATTTCGATTCCGGCATCGAATCGATTTGGATTCGATTTGATTCTCCCCCCCCCCCCATTCT